CTGGAATTTTATTACACTATCTGAAATTACTTTTTTACTCAGTTTTCGACCAACAAAAAATATTAATTACATTTAATAAAAAGCGACAAAACTTAAAAATTCACCAACAAAATTCAGCGAGGACGCTTGCATGCTGCAAAAAGTGTAAAAAAAGATTTTTGATAAAGAGCTTTGGAAATAAAATTGAACGCGAAACGTCACCCACCAAATCTTTGATCCCCCATGGTGTACAAAGTAGGAATGCATTTTCCGAAAAGTGTGAAACACTCCTTAAATGAATTCGAGCAAAGATTGTTGAAAATGAGTTTAGAGCCGAAAAAAGTTTTATACTTGTGTATGGCATACTAAAAGACATTCATTCCAATATTAATCCAATTCCAATATTAATGCCGAATAAAATAAGTTTATTTAATATTCTGCTTTGCAACAGTTAGCTTCATTTTTTCGTTTTTTCAACCCTGGTCCAAATACATTTTAGAAGTTTTATTTGAATACGTATTAGCAGCTCTATGCCGAGGTACTTTTTCTAAGCTGCGTAGTTATTATTATTTTTAACAATTCGCACACAGTCTTTTCAGCATTTATTTTTAAAATGTTGTATATATATATTTGTTACTTGTTATTTGTTTTGGTTATTTTTTTTTTTGTTTTTTCCTTCTCAAAATGCCCAGAAATGTGCGAAATTTTCTTAACGGCTTGAAAGCAACTCAATTGTAACATAGATACTGTATCTAGGAGGGATTTATTTATGCGTACCCGTAACACGAGTCAAGTGATCAAAATTGGCGTCAATTTTAGCACTCTAAAGCGAGAGCGAAAAATATCTCAACAATTAACGCCTTATTTTATAGCACGTGTGTGGGCGGGACAGAGTTGCGAATTGTCTGCAAGGTTTGGTTGGCAAATTTCTATAAATTTGTCTATTTTATGCATATAATTGATGGGGCATTAACACACAAGTTAACAATGCCATCAGACAGGCCACGAAAAGCATGAATGACCGCAACGAACCGCGCCCAACCGAACCGATTCATTGTGCATAAGATCCATAGACATATATAGCACAACCGACAAGAGTCCAACTAAAACAAATGGAACTACATTAAATATATTTCTTGTTTTATACACTTGCAGAGGGTATTATAGTTTAAGGACGTGTTATGTAAGGCGTAGATGAAGTCCCCTATATAATATTATAAAGTATATACATATATTCCTGATCGGTATCAATAGCTAAGTCTATGCAGACCTATCTCTCATTTCGATCGTCAAATTAGCATTTAAGAGTTTTTTACAAAGGTTCTATATGTGTGCAAATCTTACCATAGTCAGATCACATTGAGGCACAATCGGTACAGTGTGGCCTTTTGCATAGAGAATTTGTTTGTTTTTCCAACATAAACAAAAGCCCGTTTAAATCGTCAGATTTTCGATATTATATATTCTATATATTATATTCTAATAGGTGCAATGAATACGAGATTTTGAAGGGTATTTGATCTTAGGCGTGCCATCATTCACATTTTGTCTTTCTCTTTTGTTTCTATTTTCAAACAGTCTAAAACTTTCTAAATGAATAGTTCATTTCAAAAATGCGAAATATGCCCGAGTGTCTGCTCATGTGTTCAATTTCAATTTGGTTTGGCAATTGCCAGTTGTTTTAGCCAAGGCAAGGACGCGCGTCTATTGCTCTCTGGAAAGGTGTGCAAAATATTGCAATATGCTTAAAAGCATTTTGATAAACAGTGTTCTTTATATTGTTTTTTATTTTTTTTTTTAAATATATATATATATTTTTTTTTGATAAATGTTCTCCACCTGCGGTGCGTTGAATAATAGCGAGGTTGTTATTTCAGTTGAATGAACTTTTAACAGCAGGAAGTCATATATAATTGTGCGGCTATTAGGAGGAGCTACAAATAAGACATAAAACTTTAAGTGCTAGTTAATACAGAATATGCGAGTCTAAAGCATGAGAAACGTATTTTACAAATAGTTAATTAGCATTTATTTATAACAGCAAGTTAAGTACACTGTTCACGCACAAAACTCACTTTGCTGACAGAAGTGGTGAAAATAATAATAAAGTAGGGGGAATCCCACAAAATCTCTCCAATTGCACAAGAGCTCCTCGACCAGCCTGATGACAGGAAGAAAGTAGCTCGTGCTGAAGAAGCTTGGATTTGAAAGGTGGAGTCATACATTCTTTTATCCAAAGCATTAGCTGGACATTCAAAAAATGTTAACTATCCTAACTGTTGCTTGTGAAACTTAACAAATATATATGTTTAATAAATAAATATATGCATGTGTAAAGCTATATTTGCTATACAAGCAAAAACTCTTATACTTTCCTAATAATTTGATATATCTTCAAAATAATAAGTTGTTAATTTAACAATATTTAAAGTTTAATTTAATTTTTTAATGGGTACAATAGAATAAAATCTTAATTTGTAAACTAAATAATTATTATTTTTATGCATTTAATTTATTTTAATTTTAATAAAATTATATTGAACTATAAATATGTTATAGAGTTTTAAGAAATTCCATCTTTAAAACTTTTTAAGACAATAAAATATCTATTTTTATATATATATTTTTTGTAGTCTATAAAGACTTATAAATGAATTTTATTAAGATAATTGCCAGACATGTCTAGTCTAATCTAGACCTGATAAATGTGATTGATGAAAATTGGCCAGGGTAGATCTAACTTAGCTTATTTCAAACCTGACTTTTGTTAAGATTACACAAACTTGTTTTTAAACACACACACAATTATTTACCACATATTTATATATTTATATATAAACTACACTCAAAACTAATATTTAACACGTCAAAACAATATTTATATTATATAAAGGAGAATAAAAACTAGAAATCTCCATTGTTCGGAGCATGTACTCGTACCTATTCTATTTGCTCTTATATAATATTTTCCTCACTTATATTAAGAAAAAAAAAACAAACAATAATACCATAAAAAAAAAACCTTAGAACGAATCACGTACCGTTTTAGCGATTTTCAGATGCGCACGACATTTTCCTCAATATGCAAATGATTTAAAAAATAAAAGCAACAAGTAAAATATTTGCGCGCCTGATGACAATGACTAAAAATAGCCGCGCACAATTGAAATGCCGTTCCATATAAAGCCAACCGACTTTTTTATGCCTTTTGTTATTATTTTTTTTTTTCTTTTCTCTTTTTTTTTATTGTTGCTAAATTTAAAGCGCAGCAAGTGAGTGGGCAACCGGGTACCAACTGTCCAGGAAACTTGCAGCTTCCATTAAATAACGAGAAAGTAAGGATTTTTTCGGCACGCTGAAGATCTAATACCCTTTTTGGCTTGCAGATATGCGAGTATAGCAAAGCTCGTAAATGCTGATTTCAATTGAAATAACTTGGAAAAGAGAATATATTTTGTCAGACAAATGCTTGTTTTTCGACCGATTCTTCCTATTTATCTATATGATATGGTACTTCAATCTTAATAAGATTCGGCTCATAGTATGACTTGTAAATGCCGCGTTTGTATTCGATATCTTTATAAACGAAGAAGTTTTTCATACATGAACTGAATTTTGGACCAAACGATTTGCATACATATACCAGAATCATACAGTAACCAACAAATGCCGATAGGATATCTTGATAGTTAAAAGGTTTACCATTGAGCAATCTACTTCTCTACCGATTGTTCCTATTGCAGCTATATCATACAACAGCTATATGATATACAGATTGACATTGTTATATCAACTCGTTTGATGATACTGATTTAGCATATGTATACTTTATGGAGTCGCAGTCCTTCTAAGCGTTACACACTTCATGACAAAATTGTCATAGCCTCCGCAAGGGTATAAACATGTCACATCTCTCTCTCTCTCTCTCAGGGATTGACCCTGCAGAAATGGAAATTTACAGGGGCACAACAACAAAAACAATAACAACAACAACTAGAATAATAATAATAATACAAATACACACACACAAGTTCAAAGTCAAGTCTTAATGTAAAATGTCAGTAAAAATGGGGGCGCCACAAATTGAGTGACAGTCTGTACGAAGATGATGATGTTGTGGATGCCTCATGATGATGATGATGATGATGATGTTGTTGTTGTTGTTGCGCATAATGTTGATCATTATACCCATGCCCGATCATTATGTCAATTTGTTGTTGTTTTTCTGCTTGGCTAAGCATGCGAATGAATTAAAACTTGGGGAGCCAACGTCAGGCCCAGGCAAAAGCAAGCAAAATTTAATTAACAGTGGCGCACTATAAGTACCGGATAGATATGTGTATATGCGTAGATACAGTGACAGCTCGCTTGAACGGACAGAGAGCACGGCAAACTTTGTCATGCTGAAGAATGCATACTCTTGTCAATATGAGATACGTAAGACGAAAGAAACTAAGTATGCTCAGTTCAGTCAAAATATTTGGATAATTTATAAAATCTTTATGCTACCACTACAAAGCTGGATGCTCTTAAGAGATACTCAGCTGCGCCCTTATGGGCTTTTACTGTACATACAGATATTTAGACATTAGTGTCTTTCTGGCACAGTGGCCACTCAAATTGTTCGCCTGCCCGCCGGCCATACACAATTTCCGCGTGTTTACATGCTGCCAATTAGGCGATTAGCGGCGTGCTGTGCTGTACGTGACCCACTCACAGACACACACCCTCCCACTCCCCTCCCCTTGGCTGGATGATTTCCTCTCGATTTAATCTCGATTTTAGATCACAATTTAGATTCGCAATGTGAAAATTGCAATTAGTTTAATTAATGCATTTTGTCTACGCGTCTGCCTCAAATCTTTTCAATGCTGCTGACTAATCCCAAAACTGAACACGATGCCAATTTCTTTAATCATTATACATATGTATATATATAGTTGTGCATGATAAATGGTTGTGCGTAATGTTATGTTAAATCTGAACACATCTATAAGTAAAAACAATAAGTTAAAACTTACCGACTTGTCCTGCTGAATCTGCAAGTAAAATATATATGATGTTTATTTAATTTATGTGATATATGCATATTTAAGCGCTCTCACGTTTGATGTATAAGCTTATGCTCATGTGAGTATATAAATATATTATAGGATCTTATTTAAAATTCCGCCAAAAACCAATCTAAAATGCTCGACTGGGAAATACTATTTATTCGACAATATCTTAAACCTTATCTATGAAATTGCTTGCCCTGATTAACTGATTGACTGACTGACTGATTTACTGAATGACGGATCGACTGACGGATTGGCTGATTGATTGACTAATTGACGCATTTACTAATTGATTGACTGACAAACTGATTGATTGACTAATTGACTGATTTACTGAATTACTGATTGACTGACTGATTGATTGTCTGACCGACTTAAAGACTGATTAACTGACGGATGGTTGATCAACCTACAGCTCGCACCTTATGTAATAAAAGTGCACGCTAAAATAGGCTTTTGGAGATATCAACCCGGAAAGTGTGTAAATCGCTAAAAACATTTTTATAAAACTTGTTTGTTTAGCATCGGATCAGCTTCAAAATCATTTTCAAATATCTTTGTTCAAATACATTTGAGGGGTGTTTCGCACTTTTTGGAAAATCCATTGCTTTTCAGTATATATATGAACGTCTTTCAGGCTTTCTGATTAAATCCAAGTATATTCGGTTGAAAATGAGGATCAAAGATTATTTTCAAAGCCCTAGTTAAGAACTTATGGAAAACGTGATTGTTTTTTGTTTTTTTGTTTATCCGAAACTGTGGTAAATTGTAATTGTAAATGTAATTTATCTTATTGTGATGAACTATGAATAAATTATTTTGGTTACACACAAATAGTTGAGTTGTATCCCTCGAAATTCTTCTAAGACTGTTAAAAATTTAGGAACATATATAACCACTGATAATTAACTCTAATTTCGAGTATTACAGGAAAACTTCTATTTTGTTAAAGATATGGATAATAAATGGGTTTTATATACCCTCTTCTAACGAGTTACTTTATACTTTAATCTAAGTGGACGTAACCTAATATATCCGGTTATAGTATAGTAGTACTTGACTTTAAAATAAATTTGCGGATAGAAGGCGCCACTTTAAATGCATTTGAATCGCAGCCAACGGCCAACAAATCTTACCCAAAATCTTGTTCGGCGCACCTGTTGCGATAAATTTGTGGGCCCTTTGAGCGGCAATAGTAAAAATAATATAAATAAAACATATATCAAGCGTTCGAGGACAAATTTATGAGCCAACGAGCAGCTTAAATAAACAATAATTAATAATTGTACATTCTCGAACTTAATATATACATATTATTATTATTTTTTTTTTTTATTTTTTGAATGTTTGCTTTCAAATGTTGACTTGTTTTCGCGTTAGCAGCTGTCAATTGGGGCGGAGCCCAATAGAACAGAATTTTGTTTTTAAATTTATTTTAGTGACGTTTTAGGCCAAACGTGCTGACGTCCCTGTTGTTTGGGGCCTTTTTGAATGTGCACTGACACAAATATTGGCCCAACTCGTCAGCGAAATAGCCGCACATGTTAGCTGGGTTTGTCAATAAGCCGATTGGAAACTTTCCCGGAACTGGCCAAGGGCTAATGGCATTGGCCTAATATGAAAATAATTGCTGAGCAACTAAATTAGTGGGTAACTGAATCAAACAAATTATCAAATGTGAAACACAAAAGACCAGATCGGAGAACGTAAATATCCTATTTATTGATTAACAATAAAATTGGATGTTGTAAAAGTATCATTAGCACAAACAGCAGACATAACTATGAAGGTAAGCTAATCCCAGTTTGTAATAATTACAAATTGCCAAATCCTTAGAGTTAGATTTGGAATATATAAATATCAATTCTATAATTCGATTGCTATCAAATCTTGTTTTTAACCAAAGGTTTTGATTTTACCTTAGAGTACGAAGCTTTCACTGATTGTTACTGCTATATCATTATATTGAGTAATGTTTTTTATAAAATAATAATTCAATAATTGATTTAGGAGACTACATTTTATTTCAGTAAGCACAGTCAATGGAAAGCAGCTGTGCCAGCGCTAAGAATTGATATCAAGTACGAATACAAAACAATTTCAATGCACTCGGAATCCAGAAGAAAAAAACGTAAACGAGTTGATATTTTATACGAGCTTACATTTTAAACCGAAATATAATCTAGAACTCTCATAGATTAAGAAATATTGATCCAAAATTGAATGCTTAAAAAATAATTTAATGCTACGGATGGAAAATGGGTGGAAAACTGATCGGAAATAAGCACAGTGCTCGCAAGTTCGGCTAATAAGAAACTAGTTCAATAAATTTAACAATTAAAACTTGTATGACATATCTGCAACTCAGCAATTTGTAAAGGATTAACTCTTTAAAAAGTTTACCTAAGATAAAGATCTTAATTCTTTTAAGATGCGGAAGTGTTGCTTTAACTTTGTATAGCAACACACGAAAGTTAAATATTGATTGACATGAACATAGACATATATGATAGGAATATTCTTTGGGGACTTAACTTTTGCTGTCGACTGAAAACAGAAATTTAGCTACTATTTTCTGCGAGTCTGGCCTTTGGACACGTAATGAACACTTGTTTGACAGCTGTTGGTTTAATCGTGTGTCATAAATTATATACTTTTATGCTCGACACGCTGCATATTAAAAATGCTCGAAAAATAATAACAACAAATAAATCAGAGGCAAAAGCAATCAGCAAATAAACATTCCGTACGATGGGACGGCACGTGCTGTAAAACCCATTAAAATATGCATTTTGTGACTGCAAAAACATCACAAAAACAAAAACCCAGACGATGATAGACGGAAAACAGAGCGTATTAAATATTAAATCTTTGTGGATGCCAAAATGACATGCAAGACAAACAAATTGTGCATAAATTTATGACCGACACTCGGACTACAACAAATAAATAAATTTTCAATATGCATGTTATGCGAAGCTTTCGAAAGGCAGCTTACCTTTTTTTTCAATACCAATTCACCTCCCACTGCCGTTCAAATGACGCTGAACTAATTGCAAAGGAGTTTTCCAACACTGCAAATATAAAAACAATTTGACTTGTAAACTCTCTACGAAAACATACTGCTAGATTTTATATAGCCATATATGTGGATACATTATGTTTATGCTTCTCCGACTTCAAATATTTAACTTATCTTTTTCAAACCTAAAGGTATTTTATTACTTCTGGTTGATTTGATTTATTTTTTTAGATTCAATTTGTAATATTATTAATAAAAAAATAATTAAATTAAAATTATATTTTTTACAGAAATATTGGGAAAATAAAATTATTTGAAATAAATACAAATAAGCAAAGGCATCTTAAAAAATAATCTGGGGAAGTCCCATTTCTTTTGTCAAAATTTAAGCCGAATGTGAAAAGCAGATGCGGTTTTATATATATTGTTTTAAATGTAAGGCATCCTAACTTTGTTATAATCAATAATTAACCATATAATAATGATAATTTCGTTTTTATCAAAGTATTAAATTTTTTTTTTTTTGAATTTGTTTTCGAAATTTCGTTTTTTGTTTTCAAATTATTTTTGAATATTTTTTCATTATTTATTATTATTATTTATTTTGCAAACAAATATTTTAGTATTAAATGTCATCTCAAAGGAGTTCTAGAAAAAGTAGTTAACCAAAATATGAACGCGTCGAGTATTCAAATTCATTACATAACAAAATGTTTATCTATAAATAATATTTGCTTTTCAGAAGTTTATAGTTCGCTCTTTATTTAAAAGCTTAAAAAATGTTTTTTGTTAATTATAAAATCTGTTTAGCGTCCTGGCTAGTCGGATATTTTATTTTTGTTTTAAAACTCGTGTGTTTTTATTTTTTTCGTATATAATTTGGGGAATTTTTAAGCTTGCTGTCTGGGATCAGGCCTTAATCGCCTGGCTTATCAGTTACATAATGCAGCCCTGCAGGGCTGCAGCAGCAGTTTTTAACATGCATACAAACAGAATACAGATTGTTGTTATTTTTTTTTATTGGCGCCCTTTAATCAATGGCGCCGAGCGTGTGTGCTCGGAGCGTGACCAAAGTACAATGGACCACGACGAGTGCATTAAACAATAACAAGTCGAAATTTTAAGTGCAACAAATCAATCAACATACAAACACGGGATCGTTGACGAGAGGAAGAGAGTGAGGGCGAGGAGCACGTGGTGACAGCGCGGCGACGGTCACATGACCAGCAATAACAACAACTATTGCGCTCGCCAGAGCAAGCGGCATCTCAAGCATAATCGCGGCTGCGGATGCGACTAATTGTAAACGCAAATTGGCAGCCAATACAAGTCAGGTGTGTGTGTGTGTGTGTGTGGGAAGACAGAGAGGGGGAGCGTTGATCGATTGAATTAGCGGCCATTGCTCAAATCAACAGCAATTTTGACGCGTGGCAACTTGCGAAATTTGCAACATATAAAGATAGAGCCAGATGCAGGAAGAGAAGAGGTACGTTAGTTTGTGTGTGACCAGGTTCACAATTGTTTACAATTAACCTTCAAAAATGAGTGTGAGAAAATTAACCTTAGTGACGAATTAAGGCACAAAGCAAAACAAACAATAACAAGAAGAAGAACAACAACAATAACAACGCGTACTACGGCAATGCAAGCAATAAAAACGATAATACGCTAAATTTGTTATTGCATAATGAACGCGACATGCTCTCTCTTGCTCTGGCACGCAATAAATGCAAATTGCAATAGCGCGGGAAAGGGTTACAAACAGCTGTGAGACACAGCTGCTGCTGCTGCTGCTGCTGCTACTGCGGCACCCACAGCAAGTCGCAGTCGCTGGTGAAATGCATAGGAAAGCAAAATGCGACTAATTGAAACTAGTTGTCGGCCTGTGGTCGTAACGTAACGACGTCCATTTGAAGTTCGTATCAATTAAGTGAATGCTGCAATTCAATCAATTTGCAAGCGCACGCGGCTGTGCCAATGCTGTGGGGATGCCACTGTAGTTCGCTTTGCACGCGCGTTCCAATTCCAAATGACACGCATAACCTCACACAACTACGAGCGCATTCACTGAGTCATCCATGCAAGCGGTGCCGCTCTACAATTCGAATATATATATATGTGTGTGTGTGTGTCGCACTCTCTAGCTCTCGCGCTCTCACTATCTCTCGCTGTCGCTCGATGACAACAAGCCGGTATTTCGTTTTCATGTTTTTAGCGCAACGAATGAAAAGCTTAAAAAGCAAACTCAAATGAAATATGTACATATGCTAAAAACCGACAAACATCCAAGAACCAGTTACTCAGAATCATATAGGCAAGTAAAAACCGAGAGGTGAAAAGAAAAATAACAAAGCAAAAAAAAAACCAACCTGTTTTCCTTTTGCTGCTTCGGCAGCCGCACAGTCGGCAAAATCGATTTAAAACCAATAAGCTCTTTTCACACACTGAAGCACAGGAGGACACCGCGTAAGCCCCTGCTCTTCAACGAATTTCACAATAGTTTTGCAAGCCTTGTGAAAACTTAATTGCACAGACAACCGCAAATGACAAATATACCGCAAGCCGAAAGTTCAGCGTGACGAATCGTTTTTTCGTTTGAGTCTTTTCGTTGCTAGTTTATGCTAGAGAGAGGGGGTTTGGCGGAGTGCAGCGTTTGTGTTGCGCTGGAAATCCTCAGTTGTCGTTTATCTATTTTTTTATGTACTTCAATAATTCAGTGCACTCGTATTGCCACAAGTTATGTTACTTAATTAATTAACTGTTTGCACTTTGGCTATTTTTGCTGACAAACGAAAATTGAACGCAAATTTTTACGAAACGTCGTTTAGCAGCGGCACGAAATAAATATACAATAAATTTGTGTTGCGCGTTTCGTTTTCATTTCGTTGCGTTCGTTGTTTACCATTTGTACCAGCAATGTGAGAGAGTGCCCGCAAGAGAGTGAGAGGAGAGTGCGTGGCTGAACACTGCGGCAGCTTACAACACTAAGGCTGTGTGCACTGATTGCAATTGGCGCGCAATTGAAATTTCAAAGTTTTTTGTTTAAAATATTTCAGTGTAAATAAACTTGAGTGTGTGCATTTAAAATGCGTTTGCAATTTTAAACATAAGCGTGTTCCTGGCAAAAAAGGCATAAATAAAATAATTATACTCTTTGTTTTTTTTTTTAAATATTTATGTATTTTCTGCCGAGTAATTTATGTTTAATTACAGTAGTTTTTTTAAAGAGATAAATGGGATATGTTTTTAAATTCAATTAAGAAGACATATGTGTATAAACTATGGCAGTTTTAGCAGCCACTGCAAGTCAAGACGGATAAATATGATGTCCAATATGTGAGGCTGGGCGGATGAGAGGGGGCATGCCACTAATGCGTCAACTGGGCATCTTTCGGCCTGCCGCAAGTGGCCAAAATCCAATCAGTCAACGGCCTCTGATGACGGCTGACAAAAACCAATCAACTAAGTGTCCAATGTCCAAGAATTAGCATAAGAAAGCGCCGTCCGAATGCAGACATGAAAACCGTTTAGTTCCTAATGAAATTTTACACCCGAAGGGCGCTCGTTAAACGGCCACGTCAGCGGTCCATTTGCACGGTATTTGCCTCTGTTTTACAGCCATGCGCACCCCTACCCCTGCCGTTACCCTTACCCTTGCCCGTTGTCGACGCACCGTGCCACACGACCTGCCACTTGTCTGGCAAGTTTGACTTAAGTGCAGTTTTAACCGAGGCGCCTGTCTGGATACGCGTTTTGCAGCCCGCCCGGCAACTCGCTGTTTGTTTGGCCCCACGAACGTGTTAACTGCAGGTGTTTGGCATTTGAGTTACGTGCGCACGCAACAAATTGCATGCCCCGCATTCAGTTTACACAGCCACCCACCCTAATTAAATGTCAGTAGCTGATGCGCGATGCCACGGCTTAGCCCCATGTTGAGGGCCAAACCCGATGCACTCATGCTCTGAGCAATCTGCGCGTCACATAATCCCCAAGTAATCTGACGGATTACAGCAATGAGCTCTGCCCAATGGCCAAAGGTATAATGGCCACTAAACTCATTCGCAACAATACACAACTCAATCAAACGACATCAAATTGGCTGAATGAATCACTTGAATTGAAATGAATTTACGTGGCGCCATTCGAAAGGGAATTGATTTAGCTTCGGAGCATATAACCCATTTATAAAACCGATTCTCTATCATCTCAACTAATTACACTCTGAATAAACTCTTTTGAAGCTGAAAATTATTTTGTAAAATTATTACAAAGTTTTAATTATTTAACCAGACAAGTTGACAAGATTTTGGTTTAGATTGGTAAGCGTTTATCTGACGGTGTAATGTTATATAATATACGATATAATATACGATAATATACTATGATACGATAATATACGATAATATACGATAATATACTATGCTTTTATCTAGCATGTGAAGAATGTCTTGGAAAAAGAACGCCAGGTGTTTCGGCGGAGCTGATTGATTTGCTCCTCAATGATCGCCCGTTTCAGATCCTGGTGAAAAATCAGGCCAAGAACTTCGGTATAAAGGTATAAATTTAGTAAAACAAAGTTTGTATTTGTTCCTAATTTATATGGATGTGCTAGATATTTAAATAGATAGAAAGATAATACTCGTAAAGTATACCACAGTTAAACTGCAAAATGAAAAGGAAATATTTTGTAATATCGCTCTACTATGCGATTCTCATGAATTCAAATAACACTTTACACGCTTTGGCCCTATGCAACTAGTTATTATGTTAACAGTTGACATTGAAATGAAACACATTGAATATTCACTCATATTCTGCAAATCACTTTCGAATCGATTCCACTGTAATTTATATATACATTTCATTAAATTACATTTCAATAAATCAATTAGCTAAAGTCCAATGGACTTCTCTAAGCGGCGGTTCCAATTTTGACCACCAATTATCTCCTTGCAGAAGCAAATGGACAGGGGGAGGGGGGGGGAGGGGTGGCTTATGTGCCTGTTACCAACTGCTTGGGACTATAAAACAATTAAAAGGCCACATAGCAAACAGACAGGTTATCCTTGTGTCCAACTGTCCAGGCAACTCGCTCGACGTCTGCATCAATGGAACGTGACGCTGCAACTGGACTCATAATGCAGTCGTCACCTGGCCGGGACGGACTGGGACCCTTGTTGGACAGCGACTAAATGCAATCAGTTTGAGTGCCTTGATATATTAGCGAATGCTGCAATTTGATCGGGGCATGGGCTGGAGGGCTGCTCCAACCCCAATCCTCCGTCCACTGCCGAAATGTTGGGTCTAAAGAGCAGCTAAGCCATGTGAATCGTTAGGCAGCTCATTTGGCAGCCGCACACGTTCCGTAGCTGAAGAGTTTGGTTTTAGTCTCAACTGCGTTTCAAATTGAAGTCGAAGCTAGTTAAGAAATAACACAGCAAATGTCATCAGCATAAGTAAAACAACGCCAGCAAGGAGCAGGTGTGGCGGCAGGCGGGTGTATAGTTGATGAGGGGTGGGCGTGCCAGCTGGCAGGAGTCAGCCAACACCTGAGGTGCACTTATGGCATGGCATTAGCATTCCTTACAGCCAGTCGGAAGATAACAAAAACACGCACAACAATTGCAGTCGAGACTGGAACAGCACACACACCCACACACACATGCATACACGCACACCCACACACGCATACACACTCATATGGCAGCTTGTTTTGCGTCGGAAGGCTTCAGCGATTTTATGGCAGCACTTGGAGCCGATGCCGATGCCGCTGTCGTTGGGGGCGCTGGAAATAAACACATTTTCAAGCTCAATGCCGGCGAAAAGCGCAACACCAACAACAACAGGGGCAAGTGTCAAGTGTCGAGAGTGCACGACTAGAAGATACCCTGTGTTCAGCTCAAAATTGCCATGACAAGCATTTACGTTGCCTTCGCGTACATACATTACATTTATACACACAAAAAATCACACACACACACACACACTCACTCTAGCAAACGCACAATTCACACACAGTCATACGCACAGTAACACACACGCACATTCACATACACTCAATATAATACAAACACACTATCATACACAGATGCACACGCACATCGCATGCTGCACCGCTGTACTTCTTCTTCTCGTGATTTTCATCCAAAAATTATATAACTTCTTGGTTTTTTTTTTTTTTGGATTCTTAAGAGCATATGGCAGCCTGGATGGAGTATATGCCAAGATCGATTTCAGTGGCAGGACCTATCGATAATTTCAATAACGGTTTCATGAGGAGCAGCTATCAATAACAATAAAAACAATTATACTAAAATTAATAATGGTAATAAAAATAATAATAATATAAATAATACAATTTATAATATTATGTATCGAATCGTAAGTATGAAATAAGCTGTGGAGGCAGGTCTGACAAATCGATATTTATCGATAAATACAAAACAAACATATCTGCTGACCTGCTTAGAAAATTGCCCTTAAGAGCCGGCAAATAAACGTTTTCATGCTAAATAATGCTAAAGACTAAAATAAAAATAATAATTTTAGAAAAATATTGCTTAATAAAAGAATAATAATCTATATTTAATTGACAAGTAATTTTCAATTTTATAATATTTGAATAATATTTGAACTACTCGGTTACTTAACTGTGCAGCATACCCTTTAATTTGCATTCGCATTTGCTATATATACCCTATAACAAAGGCAGAGACGAGAACAAAGCCAAACAGAAATAGAAATGGAAAAGAACTGGCCTCGTCTGCGCCCTGCTATTGGGATTGGAACTGGGTCTCGGTCTCTGCCGCCTGCCGCCTGCCAAACGGACACATAATGAAGTTTCGCAATCTCGTTGACTGTGCGAATGGGCAGACGCCATGTCTGCCCGTGACGTCTAACCGTAGGAGTGGCTGCGTAGGTGAACAGAGGCCGGGCGGGAAGAATGGGGGGGCCGACCATGGCTGCCGGCTCAAGTGTGATTACATGGCCATGTTCGCTGGCGTCGAGTGTTTGTGGCATAATATTATTGTTTCTGTGCTCGCGTGTGAAATCAAACTCAATGCAATGCCAAAAGGATTAAATGGATACAGCGACTAGCATGACGTTGCGCATACGCTACGTATGTCCCCCACACACACACGCACGCTGGTCCAAACCGAAACCCCCGCCCCACTATGCCCCGCCGTGCAGTTTGCGGGTCACAGTCGGGCAGCTCTGCAGCTCGCATCGACAGCTTGTAAGTGTAAACAGATACATAAGCTGGTGAAAGTTTCGACTTGCTTTGGTTCGAGGGACTCGGCAAATGCTCTGCAAAAATTAAGAGCAAGTTTTCGGTTTGACGAAGAAAGTATTTTAAAGAGCTTTAATTATATTTTTAACATGAATTCTGCTTGGTACATTTTGTTTAACGATTTTTATTAAATATTTATATTTTTATTTATATAATTTGAATTT